GGAGATTTTTTGTGTGTCTGTGGTAACCAAGTCCAAATACTGGGATTTTCCATTTCTGCTCCAGGACAGATTGAAATGTTAGTATCTAGTTCCCTTTTCTTTAAGGAAAAAAGTAAGAATGGGAAGATATTGGCAAGTGAAAAATTCTTTCTTAAACAAAATTCAGCATTATCTGGTCCCCCAGCCCACAAATCAGAAGGATCAGGAATTAAGCTGAATAACTAGGCATAGGGGAAAAGCATAAATATGTCTTTTGATAGTAAGGAAAAGAGAAAAAGAAAAGAAGTACATGGAAATGCCACACACCAGTGAAGGTAATGTGGGGGAAGGAAGAATGGGAGTGCAGTTGGGGAATGCATGTAAATGCACATAGTCCTGTCTTTCAACACTCTGTATTTGTGTATTAGCACATAGTATAGTAGTTGGAGTTCTTGATGATTTCTGTGAGTCATCAAAAACAAAAAAATTTATGTTTAGTGTTTGTTTAAGAGGTGAAGGAAGATGTAACTCTGCCTTAAAAGAGATTAGGATAGTTTTTTGGAAAATTTCACTTATGTGGAAAGTATGGCCATTTCCTAATAATATAAGCTAATTCAAACATTCCAGAGGAGAAAACTGAAGTATTGGATTCTAAATTTCATCAGAGGAAATTTCATAGTATGTATCTATTAACAGATATTTATTAAATTCTCATACATATAATTGTACAAACTGTTAATTCATTTTAGCTCTCATTAAAATGCTGCCACCAAAAGCTTTCTTGTTAATGGACTACACACAACTTCAGCAATTCACATTTGTTCATTTGGTGCAGGACAGCTTATTTTGCATAGGGTAAAGACATCAGTCAACTTCAGTACCTGTTGAGGACAGGCTACATTGCTTATATCTACCTCTCACTAAAAACAGCAATACGATTTTTTTTTTCAAGTCACCTTTAAAGTATTTGAAGAGATGAACAGGGAACTGCCAGGTTAAACTTAGGAGGAAAGCCTAACACAGAGAGGTAAATAGTAGAGCACTAAAACAAGTTTTTCCCTTGCCAAAACACAAATGGGCTTTGGTTTATCAACTTAGAGTGAGGCAAACAGAAGTCAAGGCCCAGAGCATGTGAAAGTTGTGAAGTTTTAAAGAAGTTGCTCCACACATTAAGTATAACCAAGCCTGCTCCCCTTCCTCCAGACTCCAGTGGGACTATAGAAACAGCTGCCTTAGCAGTGGGCAGGCTAGAAGATCGAAAATAAAGGGAAAAAACACATCCCTAAGAAGTTGTGGCCATCAACCAGTCCTGTGTAGATAGGCCAAGGAATCCCCCAACAGTGAATCTGGTTTAGGTAGTGCCCTCCAGAAAACTAACAGAGGCAAACATAGAGCTTCTCTGGAAGACAGCATATTCATCCTAACCTGAGCAGATCCCCTACAAACAATTTTGAAGGGCAGTAACCACGGTCAAAAACAATCAGGGCACACAGAGAAACAGGACAGGCAGCACCAACAGGAAAACAAAACAGGCCACAGAAATAAATGGTCATAGCCAGTTAGCATAGTTCTCATACACAAATATAAAAACAAATTTGCTTACTCTGTTTAATGAAACAAATATTGAATAATTGCAGAGAAGAGTGAACTGTAAAAGTGATGTAGCAGATTTGAGAAAAAAACAAATAGGACCTATAGAAAAGAAAAAAACAACCAAAATAAAACTCAGTCAACATTTTGACAGCAGATTGGATTTCATAGAAGAGAGAATTGGTGAATCAGAAAATAAAAGGAAATCATCTAAGTGCTGCACAGAGAAAGACTGTTTTAGGCCCACAGAAACAATCAAAAAAATATACATACATACATAGAACAAGATTTTTTAGGAAGGATTCACTCATGATTATAAGGATGAGAAGTCCCACAGTCTACCATCTACCAGCTGGAGGAGGCCCAGGAAAGCCAGTGGTGTCATTCCAGTCCAAGTCCAAAGGCCCGAGAACCAGAAGCACTGAGTCCAAGAGCAGAAGATGGATATTCTAGCTCAAGCAGAGAAAGCCGGTTTGCTCTTACACCTTTTTGTTCTATTCAGGCCCTCAACAGATTGGATGATACCCACCTGCATTGGTGAAGATAATCTTCTTTTCTCAGTCTGCCAATGCAAATGCTAACCTCTCCTGGAAACACCCTTGCAGACATGCCAACAAATAATATTTTACCAGGTACCCAGGCATACCCTAGCCCAGTCAAGTTGACACATAAAATTAACAACAGAGCCAATGGTAGAAACAGTGGAAAAGAGAATAAGGATTATGGACAATTTAAGTGTAGGTTTGATGACAGTCCTAAAAGGAGAGAATAGTTCCAGAATTGATGAAGACACCAGTCCATAAATTAGAGGCTAGCAAATCCCAAATAAGAATAACAAAGAAACACAAACCTAGACACACTGTAGACAAAATTCGTAAAATAAAAACAGTACATAACTTGGAAGATGACTTTTTAATATCAGAAACCAGCGGAGTGGTATCCTCAGTGTGTTGAGAGAAAATAGCTGCTGATCTACTGGTATTTTAAGAATGATGATAAAATAGACATTTTCAAAGAAAACATGTTAACAAATCACTAAAAATTCTTAAGGATGGACTGCAAGCAGAGAAAGTAAGCAAAGATGGAAGGTCTGATGCACAAGAAGGAATGGAAAGCAAGGGAAGGTGTAAATATGTGAACGAACATAAACATTGCATAGAATTATGTGGCACTTCATCAAAACAGACATAAAATTACCAGATAATTTGTAAGCTGCAGAATGGGAGAGTGTGGGAAGTGTTGGAATGGAGTTAAGGTGCTCTAAGATACTTATATTATCCAGGAGGAAGTAACAGTTTTAACTTTAGACCTTGCTAAGTATGTCTAATTTCTTAAAAATAATAGGAAAAGATTGTATAAGAAAGAGGGTAAGTGGACTGACTATATCACAACAAGCTGATTCTAAATGTATTAAGAAATGCATGGTGCCAAGAATAGCTAAGATGTTCAGGAAGCAAAAGAACAAGGTAAGAGGACTTTGTTCTACCTGTTATCAAGACTTACTATAAAGATGTGGTAACTAAAGATTGGCATTCATGCAAGTATATGGACAAGCAGATGGAACGAGTAGAGAACCTGGAAACTGACCCACATATTTAGTGCACTGCAGAGAAGAGATGAAAAGACAGCCTTCAATAAATGTGTTCAGTCACAAAATAAATTCTTAAGTGGATTGAAGAGAAGAACTAAAAGTCAAAGGCAAAACATAAATCTTCCATAAAATAATTTGAGATAGGGAAGGATTTTTTTAAACAGCCAAAAAGCTGCAATCATGCAGAAATTAATAAAGTCAACTAAATTAAAATTTAAAACTTTGGGTTGCCAAAAGAAATCATAAAGAGTAAAAAGACAAGCCATGGAAGAGAGAAAAATATTTGTAACATGTATCACTGACAGAGGGCTTGTGTCCAAAATATAAAAATAAAAAGAAGCAGACAATAACAGGACTTGAACAGGCATTTCACAAAAGGGGGTTTCAATAAATATATGAAAAGGTGTTCAACTTCATTAGTAATTAGGGAAATAAAACAAACCACAGTGGAATATTGCTATACATCCACTAAATTGGCAAAATTTTTTTATCTAACAATACCAAGTGTTGGTGAGGATGTGGAGCAACATAACTCTCATACACTGTGGATAGTAAGGATAGTAATGTAAATGTAGTACCATCACTTCGGAAAAGGGTTTAGCATTCTTTAAAAGTCAACAATAAACATCTTATGAGCTAGTGATTCCGTTCCTCAGTATAGATACCATTTAAAGCATACATATATGTATTGAGTTAACTTGTGTAAGAATAGTCACAGCAGCACTGTTCATAATTTGAAACTGTCCATCGAGTGAAATGGATAGATTATGAATATTATACAACAATGTTTAAACTTAGGTGTAACAACATGGATGAGTCCATAATATTGAAGGAAAGAAGACACAAGAACACTACCAGACAACATTAACCTGTACTGTTTATGGTGAGGAGAGCCTACTTTCACTTAAAGGGCACAAGTAAATATTTTTGTTGCCTCCTGTTCTCCATCACAACCATGCTACTATGCTCTGCCACAGTAGTGTGAAAGCAGCCCTAAGTGGTCCATGTGGTGGTTGTCTTCTAGCCAAGACCTAACCCTTAGTGTACGGGTGCATGTATTTGAGGTAAAATCAGTTTTTTAAAAGGAAGGGAACAACAGCAAAAAAATCATTACCATAAAAGATTGGATAATGATTACTTCTCGGAAGGAGGGGTTTGTGATCAGGGAAGGGTAACTTGGAACTTTAGTATGCTGGCAACGTTTTAGTGGGTCTTGTATGGAGGTTGCACTAATGTTTATAGTTTATAACTTTCTACATAAAAGTTTTCTGTACAGTAAATAAGACATGTCACAGTAAAATTAGTTTCAAAACATAAAAATGGTCAGTGCTTCCATAATTGGTTGCTTTAAAAATATCATGTGAATGTTTGTTTACATTTGAATTGCCTTGCTTATTTCTGAAATCTATATAAAAGAAATACTCTGATAAAAGCAAAGTAAAACAGAAGGAATAAAAAAAGCAGTAGATTGATAGCCACTGAGAAGGGATTGGTGGTTACCAAAGGGGGAGGGTTTGGGGAATGTCAGTGGGGAGAGAGAAGGGAGTTAAGGGGCACTGTAATTCGCATTCACAACATAGCTAGGTCACTGTCATGGCAGTACAGCACGGGGAATACAGTTAATGACTCTATAGCATCTTACTGTGTTGATAATGACTAGTGGAGGGGGTGATGTCTTGATAATATAAGTGTAAAATAGAACACAACTACTTTGAATTAATAACTCCAGATATATGCATTAGATAATCTGTGTTTAGGGGCTTGGAAATGCAGCTTGCAATTAAAATCGTGGCTTATTTACACCAAAGTACTGACAGCTGTCCTCAACTTTTATTCACAGGTTCAGTAGATGAAGGCGTCACTGAAGGGTTACCTACACTTCAGAGCACTTCTAGCACTAATGCTCATGCAGATGATGACGATCGGTTAGTACTAACATACTATGAACTTTTTTTGTAAGCATTGTACTTAAACTGTAAATTGAAGCATTTTAGCTGGGAATTGTGTAAAGAAGTTTATTGGAGCCTCACTTTAGCATATTTTTCAGAGTAATGAGGTTACATCACACCATAAATTAGATCACCTATATGAAGTATTTTATTTGGCATTTTCAAAATTGCCCAGCCCCATCACTTTAAATAGTATCTGTGTCAGGGGCTGGGGAACTGTGAACCACAGGCCACTTCTAATCCACCACCTTTATTTGTAAATCACATGTTACCAGAACAAAGCCACCCTCGTGTTTACATGCTGTCCATAGATGGCAGAGTTGAGTGGTTAGAACAGGGGTCATGTGTGCAAAGCCAAAAATATTTACTGTCTAGACCTTCATTTCACTGTCTTTCTCACGGAAGCTTTTTCTGACCACCAGTCTAAAATAAAACACCAATTGGATCACCTTATTTTTAATTCTCTGTCCTGATCGTTTTCTCAAATACTTGACCTCTGACCGCTGATTACAGACTCCACTGAATGAACTCCTCCTCAGACAGAGGCTAAAATGGGCTGATAAACTGTATTTGTTGAAAACATGAAGGACTCAAAGAACTCAAATAAGGTTTATTGTTCTTTAGTAGCTAAGCCTGGTAGAGCAGGTTATGAACCAGTTATTTGACTAAATTAATGAAGGCATAAACAGACAAATGTGCCTAGATTTCTTAACTTCAAACCTTAATGAGGTTGTCTGGTCTATACTAGATAATGTGCTAAGTTATGGGGATATAGTGATGTGTAGCCTTTGCCTTTAAAGGGATGAAACTGATTTGGGGGAGAGGGAGGAGGTTAAGGATAGACAAGTAAACAGATAACCTATAATGATCTGCAGAGGCTTCTATTGTTCTGCATAGGAGTATGCCTACCTAAGTCACTGGTAAATCAAAGTAGGTTTCTAGGAGGAAGAGGTGACTTCTTAGCTACATTTTATAAAATGAGTAGGCATTACATAGGTAAAGAAGGTAGGCAAGTAGGAGAAGTTAAATGTACAGGAGCACAGAACTAAGGGTAGAAGAACTGCTTGGTGTAGGGTATGTTAGGGGAGTTTGACAAAAAATGAGGCTAGAAAAGTACACATAACCCAGGTTACTAGGAATCTTATATGCCTTGCCAAGGGGTTTAGACTTTATTCTGAATATAACAGTGAATCATTGCAGGGTTTTAAACGGGACTGATTTAATCAGAAAGATCACTGTGAAAATGAGAAGGATAGGTTGGAGGGAGTTATTAGTTCAGGCTTGTATTGAAGAGGGCCCAAATTAAAAGCAGTAATAGGAAGGAAAGAATTAGAGATATTAAGGATTTTATAAGGTAAATATAATATTAATCTATATGTTCTGTGGTCATACATCCTTGCTTAACTTAAGATGGGGGACATTCTTGACAATAACTTTATTTTTCATATTGCTATAAGTGAAACAATCTTTCTACTGATTCAGAAAGTCTTTAAGTGTTTTTTTCTTTCATTGATTTAAAGATGTACAGAAATATTTATTCAGCTTAAAAATCAGAACCTGGTTGCCTTCTTTGGTCTGTTTTTTAGATTGGAAAATGTTCAGTATCCCTACCAACTCTACATTGCTCCTTCTACCAGCAGTACAGAGCGACCAAGTCCAAATGGTCCAGACAGACCTTTTCAGTGTCCAACTTGTGGGGTACGATTCACCCGTATTCAGAACCTAAAACAGCACATGCTCATCCACTCAGGTACTGGCATCTCCCCTATTGTTGTATTAAAGGAGTGTTCAGAAACATTTTATTTTGGAACCTCAGTTAAAAATAGAAAACAGGTGTTTTTGAGTTAAAAAAATGTATCTCTGGAAAATTAATGAGAACAGAATCTCATTGCTGAAGTCTATTGCTGAAATGGTACAGTGACAAAGCTGTTTGCTTATTAATAGACTTGCTAAAGGCATAAGTATTCTGATGAAAACCTAGAGGGATTTGTGTATATAAAATGTAAATTAAAAAGGTATTCAATGTGTATAGTGTGCACATATGCATTAGGTAGAAAAACATGAATATAGATAGTAAGGTAAATGAAGTTAAAAAGGTACATATATATATTGTAACTTCTCTGTTAAGTTTGAAATTATTTCCAAATAAGAAGTGTTTTTAAAAATAATAATTTGGAGGAGCCAAGATGGTAGCATGAGTAGGGCAGCAGAAATCTCCTCCCAAAACCATATATATTTTTTAAAATACAACAAATACAACTACGCCTAACACAGAGAGACCAGAAGATATAGCACAACAGCCAGGCTACATCTACATCTGCAAGAACTCAGCATCTCATGAAGGGGGTAAGATACAAAGCCATGACCCGGTGGGACGCGAGCACTCCCCCCACCCCAGCTCACTGGCAGGAAGAAAGGAGTCAGCATGGGGAGGGAGTGGAAGCACAGGACTGCTAAGTAACCAGCCCTAGTAATCTGCACCAGGAGCACAGAAACACACGCATTGCATGGTGTACTGGATATTAGAAAAACAGAAAAGTAAAATCTGAAAGTGGGTCCCCACAGCCAGCTCCCCTGGGGCAAAATAAAAGCAAGTGCTTTTTGGAAGTCTTAAAGGGACGGGCTTAACAGCTGGATGGAATCATCCCGGCACACTCAGCCCAGCAGGCTGGGAATCCTGAGGAACTTCAGGTGCCCTAACCCCCTGGTGGCAACGCAGCTTTGAAGCCCCTCAGGGCAATAAGCAGCCTGCCGTTCGTTCCCCCTGGCTGGCATTGTCCCCGCATCAACAGCAGAGCAGCCAGAGAGCAGCCGCACTCACAGCAACCGCCCAGAGGCTGCTGCCAGCGCACAGCCTGCCAGCGCAGAGGAAGCTGGGGTAAGGCACAATGGGGTGCTATTCTCACAGGAGAGCACACTCGGTGCACCTGCCACTCCCCACAGGGCTCTGGGCTACCCCGAGGGCTGCCCCGCCAACTGCAGCTCAGGAGATTAACCTGGAGGCTGCTCCCGGTGTGCAAGTAACTGACACAGGCAGCAGAGAAGGGCAAGGTGACCAGCAAGCAGGAAAGGACTTTGTTCTCCCAGCTGACACATGTGCCACCTGCCTACGACTACCTCTATCACCATGAAAAGGCAGAAGAATTTGGTCCAGTCAAGAATCACCCAGACAACCCCTGAGAGAGGGCTTGGGGAGATAGATATAACCAATCTTCCTGAAAAATAATTCAAAAGAAAAGTCATAACCATGCTGATGGACCGGCAGAGAAATATGCAAGAGCTAAGGGAAGAAGTCAAGAGGGAGATTACAGAACTGAGACAATTTCTGGAAGGACTTAAGAGCAGACTGGATGAGGTGCAAGAGACTATTAATGGAATCAAAATCAGAGAGCAGGAATACAGAGAAGCTGAGGCAGAGAGAAATAAAAGGATCTCCAGGAATGAAAGAATATAAAGAGAACTGTGTGACCAATCCAAATGGAACAATATTTGCATTATAGGTACCAGATGAAGAAGAGAGAGAAAAAGGGATAGAAAGTGTCTTTGAAGAAATAATTGCTGAAAACTTCCCCAAACTGGGGGAAGAAATAGTCTCTCAGACCATGGAAACCCACAGATCTCCCAACACAAAGAACCCAAGGAAGACAACACCAAGACATATAATAATTAAAATGGCAAAGATCAAAGACAAGGACAGAGTATTAAAGGCAGCCAGAGGGAGAAAGAAGATCACCTACAAAGGAAAACCCATCAGCCTATCATCAGACTTCTCAACAGAAACTTGACAGGCCAGAAGAGAATGGCATGATATATTTAATGCAATGAAACAGAAGGGCCTTGAACCAAGAATACTGTATCCAACACGATTATCATTTAAATTTGAAGGAGGGATTAAACAATTCCCAGACAAGCAAAAGTTGAGGGAATTTGCCTCCCACAAACCACCTCTACAGGGTATTTTAAAGGGACTGCTCTAGATGGAAGCACTCCTAAGGCTAAATAGATGTCACCAGAGAAAATAAAATCACACCAAAGAAAGCAGACCAACCAAATACTAACTAAAGGCAAAAAATAAAACCAACTATTCACCAAAGCAGTCAAATGAAACACAAAACAGTACAGAATAAAACACCTAACATATAAAGAATGGAGGAGGAGGAATAAGAAGGGAGAGAAATAAAGAATCATCACACTGTGTTCATAATAGCTTAATAAGCGAGTTAAGTTAGATGGTTAGACAGTAAAGAAGCTACCCTTGAACCTTTGGTAACCACAAATCTAAAGCCTGCAATGGCAATAAGTACATATCTTTCAATAATCACCCTAAATGTAAATGGACTGAATGCACCAATCAAGAGACACAGAGTAATAGAATGGATAAAAAAGCAAGACCCATCTATATGCTGCTTACAAGAGACTCACCTCAAACCCAAAGACATACAGAGACTGAAAGTCAAGGGATGGAAAAAGATATTTCATGCAAACAATAGGGAGAAAAAAGCAGGTGTTGCAGTACTTGTATCAGACAAAATAGACTTCAAAACAAAGAAAGTAACAAGAGGTAAAGAAGGACATTACATAATGATAAAGGGGTCAGTCCAACAAGTGGATAAAACTGTTATAAATATATATGCACCCAATACAGGAACACCGACCATATGTGAAACAAATACTAACAGAATTAAAGGAGGAGATAGAATGCAATGCATTCGTTCTAGGAGACTTCAACACACCACTCACTCCAAAGGACAGATCCACCAAATAGAAAATAATTAAGGTCACAGAGGCACTAAACAGCACACTAGAACAGATGGACCTAAGAGACATCTACAGAACTGTACACCCAAAAGCAGCAGGATACACATTCCTCTCAAGTGCACATGGAACATTTTCCAGAATAGACCACATACTAGGCCACAGAAATAGCCTCAGTAAATTCAAAAAGATTGAAATTCTACCAACAAACTTCTCAGACCACAAAGGTATAAAACTTGAAATAAATTGTACCAAGAAAACAAAAAGGCTCACAAACACATGGAGGCTTAACAACATGCTCCTAAATAATCAGTGAATCAATGACCAAATTAAAATAGAGATCAAGCAATACATGAAGACAAATGACAACAACAGCACAAAGTCCCAACTTCTGTGGGATGCAGCAAAGGCAGTTCTAAGAGGAAAGTATATAGCAATCCAGGCCTATTGAAAGAAGGAAGAACAATCCCAAATGAATAGTCTAATGTCACAATTATCAAAATTGGAAAAAGAAGAACAAATGAGGCCTGAGGTCAGCTGACGGAAGGACATAATAAAGATCAGAGAAGAAATAAATAAAATTGAGAAGAATAAAACAATAGAAAAAAATCAGTGAAACCAAGAGCTGGTTCTGTGAGAAAATAAACAAAATAGATAGACCCCTAGCTAGACTTATTAGAAGATCAACAGAATCAGAAATGAGAAAGGAAAAATCATGATGGACCCCACAGAAATACAAAGAATTATTAGAGAATACTATGAAAATCTATATGCTAAGAAGCTGGATAGAAGAAATGGACGACTTCCTATAAAAATACAACCTTTCAAGACTGACCAAGGAAGGAACAGAAAATCTAAACAGACCAATTACCAGCAACGAAATTGAATTGGTAATCAAAAACTACCCAAGAACAAAACCCCCAGGCCAGATGGAGTCACTGCTGAATTTTATCCGACATATAGAGAAGACATAATACCCATTCTCCTTAAAGTTTTCCAAAAAATAGAAGAGGAGAGAATACCTCCAAACTCATTCTATGAAGCCAGCATTACTCTTAATACCAAAAACAGGCAAAGACCCCACCAAAAAAGAAAATTACATACCAATATCCCTAATAAACATAGATGCAAAAATACTCAACAAAATATTGGCAGACCAAATTCAAAAATACATCAAGAGGATCATACACCATGATCAAGTGGGATTCATCTCAGGGACGCAAGGATGGTACAACATTCAAAAATCCATCAACATCATCCACCACATCAACGAAAAGGACAAAAACCACATAATCATCTCCATAGACGCCAAAAAAGCATTCAACAAAATTCAACATCCATACATGATAAAAACTCTAAACAAAATGGGTATAGAGGGCAAGTACCTCAGCATAATAAAGGCCATATATAACAAACCTACAGCCAACATCATACTTAACAGCAAGAAGTAAAAGCTTTTACTCTAAGATCGGGAACAAGACAGGGATGCCCACTCTCCCCACTGTTATTCAACATAGTACTGAAGGTCCTAGCCACAGCAATCAGACAAAACAAAGAAATACAAGGCATCCAGATTGGTAAAGAAGTCAAACTGTCACTATTTGCAGATGACATGATATTATACATAAAAAACCCTCAAGACTCCACTCCAAAAGTACTAGAACTAATATCTGAATTCCACAAAGTTGCAGGATATAGAATTAATACACAGAATTCTGTTGCTTTCCTATACACTAACAATGAACTAGCAGAAAGAAATCAGGAAAACAGTTCCATTCACAACTGCATCAAAAAGAATAAAATACATAGGAATAAACCTAACCAAGGAAGTGAAAGACCTATGCTCTGAAAACAAGAAGACGCTCATGAGAGAAATTAAAGAAGATATCAATAAATGGAAACACATCCCATGCTCACAGATAGGAAGAATTAATATTGTCAAAATGGCCATCCTGCCTAAAGCAATCTACAGATTCAATGCACTCCCTGTCAAAATACCAACGGCATTCTTCAATGAACTGAAGTTCTAAATTCGTATGGAACAAAAGACCCCAAATAGCCAAAGGAATCCTGAGAAGGAAGAATAAAGCTGGGGGAATTATCCTCCCCGATTTCAAGCTCTACTACAAAGCCACAGTAATCAAGACAATTTGGTACTGGCACAGGAACAGATCCACAGATCAGTGAAACAGAATAGAGAGCCCAGATATAAACCCAAGCACATATGGTCAGTTAATATGTGATAAAGGAGCCATGGATATACAATGGGGAAATGACAGCCTCTTCAACAGCTGGTGTTGGCAAAACTGGACAGCTACATGTAAGAGAATGAAACTGGATTATTGTCTAACCCCATACACAAAAGTGAACTTGAAAAGGATCAAAGACCTGAATGTAAGGCATGAAACCATAAAACCCTTAGAAAAAACAGAGGCAAAAATCTCTTGGACATAAACATGAGCAACTTCTTCATGAACATATCTCCCTGGGCAAGGGAAACAAAAGCAAAAATGAACAAGTGGGACTATATCAAGCTGAAAACTTTCTGTACAGCAAAGGACACCACCAATAGAACAAAAAGGCATCCTACAGTATGGGAGAATATATTCATAAATGACAGATCTGATGAAGAGTTGACATCCAAAATATATAAAGAGCTCCCCCACCTCAACAACAAAAAACAAATAATCCAGTTAAGAAATGGGCACAGGATCTGAACAGTTTTCCAAAGAAGAAATTCAGATGGCCAACAGACACATGAAAAGATGCTCCACATCGCTAATCATCAGAAAAATGCAAATTAAAACCACAATGAGATATCACCTCACACCAGTAAGGATTGCCATTATCCAAAAGACAAACAACAACAAATGTTGGTGAGGTTGTGGACAAAGGGGATCCCTCCTACACTGCTGGTGGGAATGTGAATTAGTTCAACCAATGTGAAAAGCAGTATGGAGGTTCCTCAAAAAACTCAAAATAGAGATACCATTTGACCTAGGAATTCCACTCCTAGGAATTTACCCTAAGAATGCAGCAGCCCAGTTTGAAAAAGACAGATGCACCCCTATGTTTATGGCAGCACTGTTTACAATAGCCAAGAAATGGAGCAACCTAAGTATCCATCAGAAGATGAATGGATAAAGAAGATGTGGTACATATACACAATGGAATATTATTCAGCCATAAGAAGAAAACAAATCCTACCATTTGCAACAACATGGATGGAGCTAGAGGGTATTATGCTCAGTGAAATAAGCCAAGCGGAGAAAGACAAGTACCAAATGATTTCACTCATGTGGAGTATAAGAACAAAGAAAAAACTGAAGGAACAAAACAACAGCAGAATCACAGAACCCAAGAATGGACTAACAGTTACCAAAGGGAAAGGGACTGGGGAGGATCAGTGGGAAGGGAGGGATAAGGGGGATGGGGAGAAAGGGGACATTATGATTAGCATGTATAATATGGTGGGGGGGGCCAGGGACGGCTATACAACACAGAGAAGACAAGTAGTGATTCTATAGCATCTTACTACGCCAATGGACAGTGACAGTAATGGGGTATGTGGGGGGGACTTGGTGATGGGGGGAGTCTAGTAACCGTAATGTTCCTCGTGTAATTGTAGGCTAATGATACCAAAAATAAAGAAAAAGAAGAATTTAATTCTGCAATCCTAAATTTCTCTGTGCCCTGATTAGTCAGCTTTATAATATTATTTTTAGTGTAAAAGATTTTGGATAAGTCATGTGTGAAACAGATTTGAAACTTAAATTCAGTGATCACATAAAGGCAACAAAATTCTTGTGGTTAAAACTAACCTCTGATGAGTAAGTAATCTCCGCTGCTGTTTTCAACTGTGTGTTTATCTCACTTTTCCTATTCTGTGGATAGATCTAATAGTCCCTGTGCTAAAACCAATTCCCTAAGATTTTGTTAAATCAACAGATTGTGTGTGAAGGTTTTTATTCATTTTTTGCCAACTGTGATAATGAATTGAAGGAGACCATTAGTATACTTTATAGTTCACATTTTAATTTCTACATATCTTTCTATCACTATTATATTAGCTACCCAAAAATACAATTCATCAAATGGTAGTTCTATCATGATCATAAATTTTGTTCAGAGATAGTAGAATTTTCCTTTTTTCTTCACATTTCTGAAATAGGGAATAAAGAATAGGTACATTTTCACATCTTTTCAATATAAGCCTTACTACCTTAATGAAATGAAATAATAAACTATCTGGAGATTTGAGTTCTGCCTAAATAAATACGGTGGTTAAAGTATGTTTTAAAGTCTGTAAGGTAGATGATCTAGAAGAATATTCAGAATCAACTTGAGTATATATTACTTAGTTTATCTCTTCCCCTTGTACCCTTGTGTGTGTATTCTTTTGGACACTAGAGACTTTTCAAATGTTCTGTACATTTTCTGAGCTATGTTCTATTAGAAATCATTTTTGCTGGGGATTTTTGCCTTTTTTAAAACTATCTATTGCAGAATTATAATTCAGAAATTTGTGAGGTTTAGTGACGTTTCAGTTTATTGTTTTTAGATAATACTTTGATTTGCTTTATTTTTATAGGAATTAAACCATTTCAGTGTGACCGCTGTGGGAAAAAGTTCACCAGGGCTTACTCGCTAAAGATGCATCGCCTAAAGCATGAAGGTAAACGCTGTTTCCGGTGCCAGATTTGTAGTGCCACTTTCACTTCCTTCGGGGAATATAAACACCACATGAGGGTTTCCCGGCACATTATCCGCAAGCCTCGGATTTACGAGTGCAAAACATGTGGCGCCATGTTCACCAACTCTGGAAATTTAATCGTGCACCTGAGGAGTCTGAACCATGAAGCGTCAGAGCTAGCAAACTACTTCCAGAGCAGGTGAGGCGCACAACGAGAACTGGACCAGGAAAACTGCTTTCTAAATAAACTCTTTTCCTGCTTTTAGGGCAGCCTGCTGTGTTTTTTATCAGGTTGCCAGCTAATCAGTCACACTCCTTTTAAATTCCCACTATCCATATTCTGACCTCCTGATCTATTTTGCTTAATGTGATATAAGTACATACAATCATAAATATTTTTATAGTTGGTACTAGAAATCTTTTCTACAGAAGTAGACTACTTATCCTTTTGTTTGGGTTTTCACTAATATGAGTTAAAGTAACTTAAACAGACATTACTGAAAACTTTACCATGTCAGTGAAATATAGTTATATTGAATCACTGAAGTCAGACTCTCTGCATATTAATAAAATTCTTGACTACTACTCTTTTTATTTTATTTCTATATAAAGGAATATACATTTATTTACCAGTAAGAGAAATCAACAGCAACTATAATGGATATGATTATTTAGATCAAATGGAGTTTTCCTTTTTTCTTTCAGTTTAGAGCTCCATACTTTAATATTAATAATTTATATTGAATTACCTTTCTGATTGAAAGGGTATCCAAGGAAATCAGTTCTAATTCATAACACTAACTGCTGTTATGACCAAACATGTCACTTTACACATGAAGCTTAAAACTTAAGAGAAAAATAAAATGTAACCTTTAAAGATGATTTCTCAGGTCTCCAGGTCTCCTCTAGATATAAAATTCTGTTGTCTTTTGAAAATACTTTATCAGACTTGTATATCTGTAGGCATCCTTAGTTTCTTATAAAATGAAATATCTCTGAACTTTTAAATTTTAAACCACCTTTATTTTTAAAATATTGTTTGTCAATAAATTCCAAATTACTCCTGCATAGATTTTTTCCTTTTGACCCAGTCATTCATTTTGTTTAATCTAATTAATCATTTCTAACTCTGAGCATCTCAGTATCCTATCACTAAGCCTACATTATACATATCAAACATTGTTTGCTCAGGACTCAAATAGTGTCTCAGTTAACCACTCCTGCTGTCTGTATCTTCCCTGTACGGAGCCCTCTGTCCTCCACTCCTCTTGTCTAACATGTGAAAACTTTTAACATAGGACATTTTAAATTGCTTTGAAGATGATCAGATTTTAATTTTTTTATTAATAATGGACAAATTATTAAATAGCCCTTTTAAGTGTATTAGTTATTGGCATTCCTAGTATAATTAACTTTTTAAAGCTCATCAGTAAAGATTTAAAGCATCTAAGAGTTATTTCATAATGTTTATTGTTTTAACTATAAAGAATGCCTACAGTAGATAATTTAATAAATACAGAAAAGTATAAAATATAATAAAATTAAAAATCTTTTCTGATCCCATCACTCAGGGATGCTACCCACTGCAGTTAAAATTTTATTATATTTTATTGTCCACATTCAGTAATTAAATACTTATTTAATTACTATATCAATAGAAATAGTATTTTCAATATCAATAAATTACTTTCTGAGGACTAACATGTAGCTAATCTCATGGCATTCATTTCCAAATCCCAATTCAAAGATAATTTATTACTGTTTTCATATACCAAATCTCATAGTGGAATACACATAAATTTGTTTCTTTTTACATTTCTCTGTATAGTAGATTACATATAAGGTCATTTATGAATAAGGATTAATTTCCTAACTAACATAACCAGGAAATAGTAGTAAAAGCTAGGTTTATACATATCTTAATTCATGTATAATCCAAGAAAGGTTAAATATAAATTATCCAAATAATCTTTGCCTAAGTGAGTTTGCTAATTGCATTTGTTCTGTATACAGAAACTCTTCTACATAGAACAAGAAGGGCTGCTTAGGTATCCAGAGTAATACTGAAGGAGATAATCTTATCTACTGGTGATATGGAAAGTTGATATACTTTGGTTCTTATGGATGGCTTTGGTTCATGTTTAGGAAAGTTTAGAAGTTGAAAATCCTGAGTTACAATCTTCATTCAAGAACTAGAGAAATGAAAAATCCCAATCTTGTTTTACAAGTCAGATCTTTTTATTGTGTCTTATTTACTACTGGTTTGAAAATTAACTCCCTATTTCATTATTTGCCTCTTATCTAGTGATTTCCTAGTACCGGACTACTTAAACCAGGAGCAAGAAGAGACCCTTGTTCAGTATGATCTTGGAGAACACAGTTTTGAAAGCAACTCCTCTGTTCAAATGCCTGTAATTTCACAGGTCTCCTCGACCCAGAATTGTGAAAGCACTTTTCCCTTGGGGTCTCTTGGTGGGCTGGCAGAAAAAGAGGAAGAAGTGCCAGAGCAGCCAAAGACCAGTGCTTGTTCTGAGGCAACCAGGGATGACCCCCCAAAGCCAGAGTTGTCTTCTATAACCATTGAGTGATTTCATTGTTTGGCTTCATTTTTGGTTTTTGGAAAGTGCCTGTGCTTGGTCTTGTACATTTAAATTTAATTTAATTTTTTAAAGAAAAAGGGTTTGGGAGAGAATTTCTCTTTTTACTTTGTAAGCTCTGCAACTGATGATTTATTTTTCGTGACTGAGAGATTGCATTTGTAAGTGCATAGTAACATGATTTCAAAACATAATAGGAACTGTGAGACTCAAAGAGAACCATTTGACTTAAAACATTTATCAGTTTATTCCTCCATTGTTAGAAGTAGGCTAACAACAGATCATTAGGTAAAGAAGAATTCATATGATTATTAAAAAAGGTACACCAGAAACAAGTCACTAAACAGAATTTGACAGATGGCCTGAATGGATGTTTACTCCTATACACAGGACATTATACAGTATTTTGTATAAAGCCTGTTGTTTTTGGAAGTATTTATGGTAAGCTTTCTTAAAAACTATTAGGGTAAATACTTCTGAAATCCAACATGCTTTTTTTTAAGCTTTGACACTTCTGTTACGATTTTTCATGGTGAAAATTTGGAATTGTGGTAGGCATTCCCTATACCTTTGTAGTATCACTCCTCCAAATAATCTTTCTCTATTCTGTGAAAGAAGGCAAAGACCCAGATTGAGAATAGTCAAGCTGTGCATGAAATGACAGGAATGAAGAATGAAATATGTAAATCCCTGCTTCCTGGGAACTTCTAATTCTGGTTTTCTCACTAAAATTGTTGTTTACCTAGTCTTTGAAAATTAATTCCAAGTTAATTAGGTCATTGCCTAAATCAGTTTTCCTCTTGCTCCATCAACAGTACTTTCCCTTGCACATATTGGCATGATACCATATAAAGGAAAAATATTGGAATATTCTATGTTTTATATATAGGTTTATGTATTGTTGAGGATGTTTTTTATTGTGCTGTTTTGGACAAAGTAAATTATCTGGTAAGGCTACATTCTTAACTAAGGTTGTTTACAAAATCTCATATGAGAGTGATACACTGTTTTTGTTCCAAAATGTTTTTAGATATTGGTAAGTTTATTAAAAGCAGTTAGTACAGTTTTTACACAATGTAAAAGATAAGGAAAGGCTATAAAATGATCTATGTGATCTATGTTTCATAAATGGGAAAAAAAGAATTGTCAAGACTAAAGAAAAACTAAAAACTTTAATATCACCTCTTTTGCTGCTAAAAAAGAAGAAAACTTCCTGGTTTATAGTAAAAATTTATGTAATCCTCTACACATTAGTGTAATTTTCATTTAGTGCCATTAATGCATCACTGATGATCCTAAATATTCATGAGTCCATAACAGTGAACTTTTGAGTAACTTTATATATACATGTATATATACACAAACATACTCAAAAAGTCTTAAAAAATTATGAAATCACCTGATTAGATTAGAAAAAATAAATGAAATTTAATTTCTAATTCAAAACATATGAATTTGGGGTGCTAGGTCTTAATAATAAAATATATTTTTAAGTTATGTGATTTGTTTTTTTTTTTTAAGTGGGCTAATTTAGTAATTGATTCCCTCTCACCTCCCCACCCAAACATAAAAGAAGAGAAAGTAATCTCACTGAAGATTTTTTTAAGCTAAGGTTCTTTCTCTTCCCAAATTCTGCTGTCTTTGTTTCCAGCTCCTTATCTCACTCCAGAACTTGCTTTTCCTCACTGCTCCCAAACATAGGTGTGTTACATTCAGGAAAGTCAGCATATACAGGCTGTATGATGGGTTTCCACCATTTATACTTCTTTATTAACAGGGTTGAGTTACTTTCTGCAACAGACTGTAATGCTGATTAGTAACAGTATGAGTGTCCACCTGGAAAGGTCAGGAATTTTTACTTTTAATGTTGTAGATATATTCTCTGAAAACTATTATGCCTACTAATAGATAAATCTCAAAGTTAATTTAAAATTTTATATGGGCAACACAAAGAATTTGCAAAATTATGATTATGATCAGGAATCATTGTTGCCCTCAGTTTTAAGAGTTGCGTTTTTTTAAGTAAATAAGGGGGGAGGGGAGGAAGAAAAGAAGAAATATGGTTAAAGAAGTGTAAAAGAATTGTTTGGGATTTTATTGGTTGAAAGTGTTTTAACACATCCCCTTTCCTGAGAACTCTACATTAAGGGAGCCCTACACAGTGTTGGCAGCTCCAAGGTATTCTGTGTACTCAGAAGGTAGGATTACTACCACTGGCTACTCTTTTCCAAGTGGAAACTTTATTTTCATTTGTTATTACAAAGTGCATAGATTTGCAAGTTTTATGAAAAATTTGAATGTACTGTGAAAATGCATTCTTGGTTGTTAGTTGTCTCTATTCCCCAAGTCTTACTAGTACAGACAACTAGTATATGACATAAACGCTGCCTTTTTTCTCTTCCATTGAGGCTCTTGATGCACAATTTAAAGATATTTAGTATATGGATCTGTTTTAGGAAACTAAGCTGCAAGGGATAATTATATGTAGTGTTATTAGGTTTATCAAAAATTTACTTGAGAGGGATGCCTGAATGTGTAATTTTCATCAGAATATATGGAAAACACTGCAAAGAAATAAAAGCCAGTTACATTATCCCATCCATTAGAAATTACCAATATAACTAAATATAAAAAAGTTCCCATTTAAAATAATTAAGCATAGCTGTCTTTCTTAATACCCAAGAAGGTAACTTTGTGATATTTAAAGGGCTTAAATTTTAGGATGCAGCATAAATCGAGTGTTTTATATAATAAAGTATTTATTTTCAGTTGTCTAGCTACCAAATGGGTGTGATGTAGTTTGGAAATGAGCAGAGATGTTCTCCTGAAACTGGGGTCACAGCTCCTGCAGTCATGCCTTCTGCTCTAAGGCTGTGAGAGCACTGAGTGTGTCCACGGCTGTTCTAATTCAACAGCAAAGGGATACGGTTGGGTTTTACTTTTTTTACCTTTAAGTTTTCTGTAAACAGATGCATGTGGAGGTTATCACCTACAAATATATTTAAATAGATTTTTCTTAATTTGAATTTCAAGTAATCTAAATTTTTATTTCACTTTGTTAAACGGGTTTACAGTGCCAGTTTTTAAAGTTTCAATTTCATTAAGGTAAAGTATATTAAAATGTGAGCAACTTCATCAGTATTACATTTTAACATTTCAGTAACCATTCTGGCTTACAGTAATTTGCTTTCATGTTACAACACATGCCCTTAAGTTTTAAAGAACAAATTAAAAACTTCCATTTTGTTAAAATATTTTACCAAATTATAAGGGACTAGTCAGCACATCTAATTAATGTACTTCCTTCTGGTAACTCTGTTACCGTCTAACTGCTGAACCAGATTCTCCCAGTGTATAAATGGTACCCTGGGAGACTTTGGAAGCTGTGTTGAACTGTTTCAGTCATTTATCTCATTATTTTATTCTCTTGCCTTAATCAAAAGTAGAGAGATTATCTAGGTTAGTAGCTTTTTATTTTGAAGAGTCACAGATCATGTTTTAGTCTCCGTTAGCTTTGTAGTCCCTGAAAAATGCATTATTGTATAATGTAATGACAGTTATGTATGAGTATACCACTTAGAATTCTTATTGCTCGATGAATAACAGTCCTAAAATTGTGATATTTTAACTGAGAGAAGTTTGAGATTTGAGGAATTGGCAATGAAGAGAATTAAAAACTTTAATGTGGCACTTGCCCTGTTTTCACTCATTTACGAATTGTGAAATTGTAAGTCTAAAGTGTATATCCAAGTGAGGGAAAATAGTTTTCTAGATACTAATATTAATTGAGGGGGAAAAAACTAGTAAAATCTGCATTTAGAAGTTGCTCAAAAGTAATGTGGTTTTCACCATAAGTTATTGACGTAAGATGCTTTATTTATAATATATTTAGATTTTTAAAGTAACTGAGAGAAGAATGTATAGAAACTAGATTTTCTTTTCTGAAATTAACAAAATTGCAGGGGAGGCTATAATGGTAAACATGTCTATGAGGAATAGTTGTAGCTAAGCATACTTCTACAGGCTTTTAGCTAAAATGTTCAAAATTTAAATTTATTCCTTATTTTGTTTATCCCTATTTTTATCTTTGTTTCATTTTTTTCTTGATAGAATATGGTGACATAGGGTATTATTTTTATTTGGGAAGTCCTCAGCAAGACAACTAAGGAACAGACACTCTGTGGATATACCATTTTTAGATTATGAATATGTTGAGATTTATTAATGGGGAGTTCAGCCAATGTCAAATTATAGGATGAAGATTCTTAGTGTGACATCATAATTATACATTTTTTCCCATAATACTAAACTAATACAGTTAGATATTTCCACTACATTGTAGTGATTATATTTTTATGATAGAAGAAAATAGTTGCTTGTCTTTACAAGTAGTCTCTGTAGAGACGTCAGGTGATGCTTTTGGAATCTCAGTTGTGCAGTGTCTGAACAGTGAGACTGCCTTAAAGCGTGTGTTAAGTGAGCTCCCTCTGTATCAGACCCAGGCCAGTTCCAACTGATACCAAGGTTCTTGTGTACATAATAGTTCACAAAGATTTTAAGAATTCAGACCATTGATCGAAAAAAACTTTTTTTTTACAATTTTTTATTAAGGTATTATTATACGCTCTTACGAAGGTTTCACATGAAAAACAATGTGGCCACCACATTCACCCATATTATCAAGCCCTCCGCATACCCCGTTGCAGTCACATCAGTGTAGTTAAGATGGCACAGAGACACTTCTTGTCTTCTTTGTGCTACATTTTGCCTTCCCCGTGATCCCCCACACCATGTGTACATTATAATAATAATACCCCTCAATCCCCTTCTCCCTCCCTCCCCACCTGCCCTCCCACACCCCTCCACTTTGGTAACTGCTAGTCCCTCTTGGAATCTGTGAGTCTGCTGCTGTTTTGTTCCTTGAGTTTTACTTCCTTGTTATACTCCACAAATGAGGAAAATCATTTGATACTTGTCTTTCTTTGCCTGGTGTATGAAAAAACCTTAGGTTTTTATAAACACTTAAAAATTTTTCAGTTTGAATGCCTGGTTTATAAAAATTATTACCTTTCTCTTTCAAATTAACTAATTTTGCAGATTAAACTTAAAGCCCTGGGCTAAATTGTGATAATTTATTGTTAAAATTGCTACTTGATGGTTTGAGGGGCTAGTGTCATGATTTTTATTAAACTGCCCTTGATTTCCTAAATGCTAGTCTAATCACATACAGATTTCACCATTCAATTAACCAAGTTAAAAAATCATCCTGTAAATGAAATCTTCCCTGCATTAAAAGTAGCCAGTCACCTCTTCCTAACACACATTGTTTTCCTTGGTGTCAGTGGGAGCTGCGTTCATCTAAAGATGGGAAGCCTTTCGAGCAGTTCCCAGAAACACCTGTTTTCTAAAGAGAACCTTTTCTGTGATTAGGTTATTAAGTGTGTTTTCTCTAAGAGCTTTCTTTTATTTCAGTTTTCTATTTAATTTTAAGTTGACAGATGCTATGTAAGTCTCTCATACTGAGAGTAGTCCATTAAATTATTGGAAGTTGCACTGCTTTTTATGCTTCAGGTGCCTGAAATGAATGCTGTCAGGTATTTGGAAGGAGTAAGATCATAGGCTTTGTACATTTTCTTCCTTATACAAAGTGATGGCTTCTAATGCTTTTATTTTCAAGGTGTTTTTGAAGAAATAACAGTCCACAGCAGAGTAAAATTTGGTATTGATCCAAGACCCAGTAATATATTTGATTTTTCTGTTGTTACTGGTGCCTCCAGTTGCATCAGATAAATTGCCTGCCTCTTTGTAGGGCACCCTTGTGGCACCTTATGTCCAACTGGAAGATAGTACATGGCTTCTTTGTGCCACTACTATCTTTTCAAAAGCCATTTTATAAAAATCGTAGGTAGCCTATTTTAATATTTAGATATATATATGTATTTGTGAAATACTTTTAGAACAGACTTTTTTTTTTTACTTTAGAATTCCTGTATTCCCATTTATAAAAGTAAATTTAAATTTTCCAGGATTAGGACTTGATTTTTCCACAGCAGCATAATGAGAAAGTCAGATTGAGATAATAGACTGTACTTCAGTGATAGAAAATTGATGTCTGGTTAAAGGAGACAGATGTGAAGGGAAAAAAATGTTTTGATGTAACAAATGCATTTTTAAATGAAATTGTTTATGTTTGTGTAATTTCATATTTGCTGCTATAGTAGCTCAGTCTTTTCCAGAGCTAACATATAAATTTGGCTCCATTTAAAAACTGGAGTACTTTTTAGCACAACCAGCCTAGGAGGAAACTGTACCACAGTCTTCCGGATGGGTGACTGTTTTGTTTGGCTGACGCATGCTTTAATACTTGCCTATAATCCAGCATCAAGGAAGTTTGGGGGGAACTTTTTTACCTTGCTAGTTACAGCATTATGATTCTTTTGGGCTCTGGTATTTTGTGAAACTCTTGGAGGAGGGTAGTGCTGGGGAAGAAATGTGAATTAAATTATGTAGGTGGGTGTTTTTATATCTTTTCCCCTCTCCTAGAACCAGTACAACTCTGAACTGTGCCAGTCCCCAATTCACCAGCTTTGTATCCAGTTGTCATCTCATTCGAGTAAGGCTTTACTTGGTGACAGTGGCCATAGCTAAGTTACTTGGCATGTTTGACTTTCAACAATAACAAAAATGGTTTTGGATTTTATTTTATTTCCTAAAAATGTATATGTCAGAACTTCACATTTTATATACTAGTATCTGGCTATTAGTATTTTACAGGAACCATAGTTCTTGGTGAATACATATATGTATATATATATATATTTTTGTGACTTTTTTGTAAACTAAGTGCCGTTTCGATGTTACAATCATTTTTAGAGTTACTGTAATCAATGTGAATATAATGTTTTTCAGATCTGTTCTGAGCCTATAGTATTTGCTTTGTGAACATATGTGCATTGTATATATTCTGTATAGTTATATTGTACTGAAATATTAGCTTGTTTGATATAAGGAAAGTATGTATTGAGTACCTTTTTGCTAGCCTGGTTGTTTTAATCTTTTTAAAAAAGATTTAAACTTAAAAATATATATATTTAAACTGGCCTTTATTACAGGGGTCACAAAGTTTCAGTTAGAAGGGCTGGGCAGGGAAAAAAACTAGTTTTGAGTGTCTTTGAATAGAAACATAAGACTGAGGTTTGCTTTTCTTCATTAAAATATCTTATTAATGCTTTAAGGAGTAAAACTTCCTGCTGTTTTTTATTTTTGGCTGGAAGGAAGAATTGGTGGTGTGGGCCGAAGACAGGTGGATAAGAAAAGTCATCAGAATAATGCACTACCTTAGTAAACATACGCTGAGTGTGTACAGACTGGAATGTTACTTCAGACAGCACACGTCAGCTTCCTGGGGAAGTGAGAAAAGAGCTGAAGTCCTGAGTCTCCACAAACACCATCCCTGCGGTGGGCAGGGACGCAAAGGAGGCTAGTTAAAGTCATCAAACCCTAGAGCTGTGGAGCCAGGTGTGGAATCATGTGCGAAGCCACGTCCTGAGTGGTGGGTCACATCTTTACAAGTTGCTCTGAATCTTTCTGAAGTTATATTTTACTGATTAGAGACCTGTTGGTGACATTTCCATAATATCTTAAAACCAGAGAGTAGAAACCAGTGAAACACAGCACATTGGGCAGGTAATGAGCCTAGCAGAGCTTAAAGGAAGGAAGGGCTTCTTAATTTTAGCTTCATCTTGATTTGGATTTTAATAACTGTTCTACAAAATAAGAGTAACAGGCAAACATAATTATTTCATTGACCCAAAGCTACCAAGATCACTTTAGAACTAAGTTCAGAGAGGAAGAAGGGTAAATTTTAAGAAGCATTCTCTTTCTTTCAGTGATTTTTAACAGTGGCTCACCAAACCACTCAAGGTCAGCAATCTCTGTTGGGTCCTTGGTAGCCTCAGCCACAGATGATATATATAACTGCAGAATGTAAAATTTAAAATAATTATGTCCTACAGTTTTATTTACATGGGAGTTACATACCAGGAAAAAGTTAATTCTTCCAGGATGATACTAAAGGTAATAAAGATGTGTATGTCCTCAACTCATAGAGTTGAAATCAGTAGTTTGGGCATTCTCTTTCGACAGGAATGTTTGTTCCAAGTGCTGAAGTGAGGAAGTTGACAAAAATCTAGAAACATGTCAAGCATTTTAAGTGGGGGAACCTTGCTCATAAACATCAAGTCCCAAATTTTAATTCATATTTATATGAGTGAACTATTATACAGATGGATAAACTAAGATAGAGCATATTCAGTCCAAAAGAAATTACTCATCAACCGGCTGGCTTAGAGCTAGGGTTTGAATAGCCTCTAGGACAAAGGGAAAGCTGTTCTGTTGTTATTTTCTTGAACTCTGATTGGTTTACTTGACTTTTCCTACCAAAAAATATTTGAAATTTCTGTACCTATCCATTTCATAGATAAGCAAACAAGGCATTGCAGAGGCTATGGACTGAGTTGGTGTTAGAACCAGAACTGTTGTGTATTTTCATTCTGTCACTAATGATTTGGCTCAAATCTCACTAGTAAATCCACACCCTTCATTCTATCCCTGCCTAATTTTTCCACAGCTAATATTTCTGCTGCCTTTGGCTGGAGGTCATTTAGGGAATGAGTGAGTCTCATTGACCAGGGATCCTGAAGAGTTGGGCTTAACACACACAGACCCAAACACAGAGTAAAGGCCAGCCTCAAATGAGTTACTTCTGATGATTCTTGCCAGAAACCGTCTGTTGGGAAGGTTGCTTTAGAACATGAGAAAAGATCACAACCAAGTAAAATTACCACAGTCCATTTTAAATTAGGGGCTGCGCAGATTTGCCCTCTTTGGCAGTCCAGTCACCAACAAGACGTGGTGGGACCTGTGGACCAGAATTCTTGAGTGGATGCAAATGAGTCTACCTACGAAATTAGTAAAACTTCCTTTTCAGTATGTTCTACAGTTCACAAAATGCTAGCACTTTTAGTGATTTGGTCTTCAAAAGCCCAGTGAAGTAAGCAGAGAAAATAATAACCAATCTGTTTTCCACATAGTTAGTGCCCTTCCTGCACATCACAGAATGGCTTCCGAAATGAGGCCACCAACAGGGCTGGGACCTGAGTGGCCTTGAGCTGCTAGAGACTGTCAGGGTTGTGCCTCCTCTCCCAGACACAGTGATTGGAAGATAAGCCAGGAGCTTTTGTCCTGCCAGTACTAGCATTATGGTTCTTTCTGGGTACTAGCATTTTGGGAGACCCTTTAAGGAGGATAATGCTGATGGGAAATGTGAATTAAGTTATGCAGGTGGGCATATTTTATGCCAGGACCTAGTTCTTTCAAAGAAAAGCCAGAGGTAAACCTTTTCTTACAGTGTGAAAAGAATTGCATATGACCTTGTTCTAAAGGTGTGCACTTGATGTGCTCTTACCTAGTTGATACTAGTTACTTTTCCCATCTCTGTTGATAACATTTTCTGTCATTTTCTCCATCCCTCCTGCTCTTTGGTTAATTCAGGCCTTTGTTGTTTCTAGCCTATAACATAAACGGGCTCCTGACTGCCCTTTGCTCTCTCAGTGGGGCCCCTGCAATCCCTCCCTCATGTTGCTGTTAGAGTCAGCTTTCTAAATCAGGCCACTGCCCTATATAAAATCCACCTCCCTCTCAGATTAGCTCTTTCTGGCTGATTACTGGTGGACTTCCCAGACAGAGCAAGCGCCACCTGCCCTCAGACCCCAGCCCCCACTTCCACCTCCAGCAGCTCCAGCTGGGTTAAGGGTCCCTCCTGTTCCCACAGCAGATTTTGTTTAGCTCCACCGA